TGGTCAGGGTATTGTGCTTATGTAGCTCATTTAAAAATATAATATATAATTAAGAAATACAGTTGATATTTAATAAGCTATAATAATCAAGCTTGTAGTCATATTAGGTGTATTTTCAAGATTAAATAGGATGGATAGATAGATAGACTTCAAACACTTCAGACCTACAGAATATGGAATTTAATATGTTTAATAACCTAACACTTTTAATGACAATGAGACATCTCTGCTTCTGACAGCACCAATTTGCTTCAAAAAAGGATGATGGGAATCAAAGAAAGTCCTATGGAGTTTCTTGCAAAAACTAGCTATTTGGACAAAGAAACTGCCCTTGCCTCAGTTGCTGATAGCATACTGTCCAAAGTGGACCAGCAGGATGCAAAAGAATGTGACTGCCAAACTTTGTCGAGACAAAATAGGAGGAGTACTTCAAAATTCCCTGCTTCTCAAAAATGCCTGTCATATATGCTAGGCTTGTAGGTCAAAGTTGGATGCCCAAACATTACAGAAGAACTTTGAATGACTCTCCAGGCAGCCAGATGTCCCTGTCATTAGGTAACAATACACCCTTCTGGAGTCTCTGATGAAGTTAAAGACTAAATAATTAGACTGAAAGTTTTCCTTAGTTATGATAAAAAGACAAATTAGGTATAAACTTTTGATTCACAAAGATAAGATGAATGATAGAGTATTTTCTCCAAATTTGCCAAATATAAATGGACTGGATTTTCTAAGTATAATTCTTACTTGATAACTGTTTTGTTGTATATAATTTTACTATTTTAAAGTCAAAATCTTCCTTTTATTTTGACAAAAAGGGGAAATGCTATTGGAATAATGTTTTGTACAGTGTGAAAATACGCTGCTCATTGTTAATAAGAAGCTGATTGGCTGATGACTAGGAAGGATTTTAGGGGCCAAAAGAATTCTAGGAAGAAGAAAGGCAGAGTCAGAGGAGTCATGAGCCAGACACAAAGAGAAAACAGGAGGTGCAATATGAAAGAAAGTTAACATCATGTGGCAGGATGTAGATTAATATAAATGGGTTAATTTAAGTTGTACAAGTTACCTAGTAACACGCTTGAGCTATTGGGTGACCATTTATAATTAATAACAAGTCTCTGAGTGCTTATTTGGAAAGTGACTGGCAGAATAGAGCTGATCACCATCCCAACAAAAAAAATCTGCCCACGAATATATTTCCTTTTCAAGGCATAGTTGGTTGATGGAATGTGTGCTTGTGTTTCCTTCTGCCAACCTGAGACTCCTTCAGGCTGAGGACCCTCATTCTGCCCTCTTGATATCCACAGCCATCATTCTTGGCCTGACTTCTGGGGAGACCCAATAAACACCATGGAAATGGAAAGAGAAAGCTGCTGAATAGGCTGATGAGATGACTGGGTTGATGGGAGCTGGAGATGAGATCCAGAACCCTCCCTCCTGTGAACCTTCATTCAACCACCCCAATGTGGGAACACCAGACCTTGAGCAGAGACCCACTTCCCCTTCTGCCTGGGAGTAGGCAGCTGTAAGACAATGTTTACTAAAAACATGTTTACTAAAAACAATGCAATGCCTGGGGGCATTAAGTTCCTGGAAAAGGCCTGCCCACAGAAACCACCCTGACCTCGACCTTGTCCAAAGACTACCCACCTCTTCTGCCACGCCCAGATCAGTTTCTGGGGTCAGAGCAGAACCAGCCAGGGGAGAGGAGAGGGCAGAAGCTTCTCTGGTGGGAGCTTTTCTTAGGAAGTTTTCTTGAACCTTTTTGGGGCCTGCTTAAAGTTTTCTTTACACCGTTGAACAAGTCTCTGTGTTGTCAATCCCCGACACCCTCCGCACGTTCTCGGACACAGGCCGCGCAGCAGACGCGACCCCCCAATGCTTCTATTCCATCTGCGGAAAGCATGTGTCCCTCCTCAGGCAGGGAGGCCACAGGCACTCTGGCAATCATTTCTCATGGGGGAGGGAACAAGTTTGAAGACAGTGACAGCCTCCAGGAAATGAACTCTCACTCTTTCTGCATCAGCTCCTTCTGGCACCAGAGCAAGGCCTGAGGATGTCACATGTCACACCTACAAATCCTTTCTGTCCTTTAGAGCACCTCTTTTGTAGACACCTCACTCTCTGCTACACACACACACACACACACACACACACACACACACACACACACACAGCTCTGCCTTTCACTCCTCTCTCATTTCCCACTACACCATATACAGAATGAACTGGAATATGTTTGTCAGTTACATTTGTCAGGCTCCTTGGGTTATTTATAAAGTAGAAGATACAACCCCAAATAACTTAAGGACGAAGGAAGGTCTTTGAAATGGTATAGATTCCAGGCATTCGAGGAAATCTTCAGGACAGTATTTTCTCTGTGGCTGGTCTCTGGCTTCTTCTGCCCTGATTTCAAGCTGACTTTCCCTGAGGGGATGGTAGAGATGACCACCACTAACTTAGTGACCACAGCAGAAAGCCAACATCTCTCCCACAGTATCCATTCAAGCCTTCTAGAACTCAATCCCACCATCCCTGTAAGGATCACGTGTTAAACTCTACACTAAGCATAGCAGCCAGGGTGAGGAAAACACCTGTGGTTTTATATGAAGACATTGTTCCTGCAGAGAAAGCTGTGGCGGAAGGGCAGAGGAGCAAATTAATAGAAAAGAGATGGGGTTAAAATGGCCAGGGTGTGGGTAGTCCCATATACTGCCTTTCTCTATGTGTTGTCTGTGGAAGACCCACTAGGGGCCTGTCTGCAGGAGAGGCAACAGGAACCACACAGGTGGAGAAGTAGGTGTGCCCAAAACAAGCATTGTGTTCCTGTACCACTCAGGTGTTCCTCTCCCCACCTCAGGGCCTCTGCCCATAGCTGTAGTAAACTCCCAGGTGGTTTGTGTGGATGGTCGAGGCTCAGCAGGGAGCTTGACTGAACTGGGGACAGAGGTAGGAGGAAGTTGGAGGGCACAAGTCCAGGTTGACCTTTATTCTTCCTGAATTGAGAGACATTGCTGTATTCTTAGCAGCAACACACAGGAAAGGGAACTTGCTCTATTTAACTTTCTGTTCACGGAATGATGCTTTATTAATGCTGTGCAGGATACCATAACAGATCCTCATAAGCAAAGTCTTGTCAAGTGTGACTGCAGGAAGAAAACATATCACCGTAGAGGGGTTCCCAGGAGCCTCCCCTGGGAGATCCCTGGGTGCTGCAGGCCTTGCCCTCCAATTGAGCCTTCATGTGTGGGCTTGGAGACCTTAAGGCTGACTCCACTTGCCCCTTCTCTGTCCTTCACAGTTGTCTGGCTTCAGGAGTCTCCCTCAGGCCAACAAGGTGTCTGAAGTCATTTACAAAGAGGGTCCTGACAAGAGAAGGTTGAAAAAACAAATGCTGTTGTCTACTTACCAAGCATGGCTCTTCTATCCTCAAAAGAGCCTCAGCTTTGTCAACCTCCTTCTGGTGGAGAGACTCCAGATACTTAGGTTACCCCTTCAGTGCACAGACCCCAGGGTGTGGTCTTTTGGCTGCCACAGTTCATCTTCCTCAGAGCAGAGTCAGAGAGTCAGAGAATGATAAAGAAGTCCCACGTTATACCCAAACCATTGAGATAGTAGTGAGGGAACTGAAGCCAAAGCAGCATGGGATACCCTAGTAAGACACAATAAGACATCCTAGGCATCCTTCACACTTCCTCCAGCTTCTGCCTTCTGAAGAAGACCTGGGTTTGAGCCTCAGTTCTCCTGAAATGGACAGGGCAGTTAATCTCTCTGAGCCTTGGTTTCCTGATTTGTAATCTAAGGATAGTAACAGCTACTTGCTGGGGAAGCTTTAAGTACTGAATAAAATGACTCATGGCCAATGAAATTGTGAGTAAAAAGCAATTCTGGAGGTATCACAGCATCAGACCTCAAACTACATAACAGAACCATAGTAACAAAAACATGATACTGACATAAAACCAGAAATATAGACCAATGGAATACTACAGTCAACTAATTTTTGACAACACATTATTTAAAAATAATACACACATATATATACATATATATATATAGAGAGAGAGAGAGAGCTCTGCTTTCAATACTTCCTTGCTACCATTTGTTGTTATTTATTTTCTTGATCATAGCTATCTGACTGGGGTGTACTGTAGCCTTGATATAATTTTGATTTGACTGTTTCTCTGATAGTTAACTATACTAAACATTTTCCTCCAAACATTTATTGGCCATTTGTACTTATATTTCATCAATTTTAAACAAAATAAAATTATTCAAACAACAAGAGACTTGATTTGAAGGGGAAACTATCTAAGACTCATTTTTTAAGTTTACCCCTACTTAAAGATGCATTACCCCACTATAACAGCTGTGTACAGCAAAATCTATAAAATTGTCCTTTTACAGTACTAAATAAATCACAGTAAAGTTCTCCAATCAAAGTATGCAAGGGTTACTATGCTGTTGGGTCTTGTTGTTGTTGTTGTTGAGACAATGAGAACAAAACAACTTCCTGAATTCTAAAGGTCACAAGGTGAAGGGGTGTGCCACTAACAAAGAAGGGGGTTTCCACAGAACCAGAACGTCTCCATGCTATCGCCATTTAATATCAACAGAAACGTAATACTGGCCTTTTAGTTTATGTGTTTTAAGTGCAATATGATTGTGCACACAGACCAGTTTCTTTCCGTCTAATCAAAGGGGAAGGAGAAAAAATACAATAGGACAGAGAAAGGACCTGTCCTGTAGTGATGAGGACATGACAGAGCCAAACATCATTTCTAATTTAGAACATATTCGAGTGAGGTGGTAAGTTCACTCGTTAGAAGACACCTCCTGCTTGCTGCTGACCTTGTCCTCCTCCTCCTCCTCCCCTTTGTCTGTGCAGGTGTGTCTGTCTCACTATCTGACTGCCCATCAAATTGGCAACTTATCAACCTCATTGGCAATCCCTGTCATCATCATTTTGCTAAGTGGGGTGTTTCTATCTTCCACAGCCCCACGGAACCATCCTGATTCACGCCATTCAGCTAAAGTGGTCGTTCTTCTCAGATGGTGCGGGAGTCTCCTCAGCAGCCACTCTATAAAAGGTACCAGGTCTGCCTTAAAGGAGCACTTCTGTATTTCTTCTTTTGAGAATTGCTCATTCAATAATGTTGTTCATTTTGTGCTTGAAAGATTTTTTTGGAGGAAGGATTTTTTTATTAGTTCTTTCTACATTCTTGACATCAATCCTTTGTTGGAGGCATAGCTGTCAAAGATACTCTCCCATCTTGCCTGTTGTCACTTCACTCTGATGATCTTTTCCTTTGCTGTGCAAACACTTTGAAACCTTCCATTATCCCATGATAAATTATTCTTAATAATATTTAATCTGTCAGAAAATGTGTGTGTATCCATGTACATGGTGTAAAAGTAAAAAAGGAAAGAAAGAGGCTAGTCGTGGGTGAAGGAGAGGACAGTGGGGGGTTAATATGGTCAATGCACATGAGTGGGGATGAAGTTATGAAAACCTCTACATTTTACAATCAATGTATGCTAATAAAAAATGATCTGACTGGTGAGAGTAAAAGTGAATGAATTATTTCTATTATTAGTCCTCAGTGGAGAGAATGAGGCACAGTGAGGCTAAATATTCTACTTTGCTGAAGAACTGGAATTGGAAGCTAGAAATTCTGACTCCAGCCCACAGATTTAGTTGTAGTCTGAGAAATGTGTTAGCAGTATTATGACTTCCCCCTAGTGGCCTATCTGGGAACTGACCAGCCCTGGCCAGTCCAAGAAGCTAGACACCCTTGCTCTTCCTGGTCAGGAAAAAAGGCAGCTGATATGCATGCACTGTCCACTCTCTGCACATTATGGCATGTTGGTGAGAGGTAGGAGAGAGGTTCATGGTCTCACAGCCCCCAAGGCTCCCCATCTGGACCTCTGAGGCCCCCTCTCGACCTCTGAGACTCCCCTTCCTCACCTTTGCTTCATCCCTCCCGTTTCCTGATGGGCTAGACAATCTGACTATGGAAGCAGTTTGCTGCACTTCGCAAGATCTGAACTTAGATTTGTCCTGCATTTTTTCATGGTCACCCAACGACCATAGCATGTGCCATCCTTATTCTCAGGCTTCAATAACATAGAACCATAGGCTTAGCATGCCTGCCTACTCATGGCTGACCATCATATGGGTCTTGGGGATTCTTCAGCCTCTGAAGCCAGGACTTTGAACCTGCTGGATTCAAAAAGTATTGCAATAGTATTAACTATCAACTCAACAGACTTTACGACCACCCAGTCTAGTCATGCCTGTATGGGGTTGTCTTGATTGTTAATTTGGGGTAGAAGACTACCCCTTACTATGGATGACACTATTTCCTGGGCTACATAAAAAGGCTAGCCAAGCACCAGCATGTATTCATCACCATGCTCATAGAGAGTGGATGTAATGTGACAGAATGCTGCTTCTGTGACTTCCCATCATGATAGATCACTGTGAAGTTCGAGCCTAAATAAACCCTTTCTCCCTTAAGTTACATTTGTCAGTATGTTTTATCACAACAGGAAGATTAGCTAAGATGCACATTATCTTGGCCTTCTACCTGTCCCTAGGCAGACCCCAGAGTGAACCTTATACACAGGGGAAATGACTTTGGAGTATATTTCTCACACAAGAGAGAAGATTCAGGTGCAGAGACACAACTAATTTGGGTTCAGGACATTTCCCTCAGCATCTTGGTTGACACATCTTACTGGAATGCCATTTGTCTTGACAGATCCAGCACAAGCTTCAGATGGTACCAAGAGTTTTCAGGACTGTAAGTCGTGCCCGCTGTCTGAACTGAAAGGTCATTTACTCTTCTATCCCTTCTCAAGCATATGCCTTTGGCTGGTTCTTACAGATGGGTCCTCCTGAAGCAGCCCCATGATAACGTACATGTCTGTGGATGCTTTTCCCTGGTCAGCTTCAGTGAGTGAAAACCCAAGCTCTAAAGAAAGGACTGGTAGGGGTGGCTCTGGATAATCACTGGAGAGAAGATCAAGGCCAGAGCCACCAAAGCTGAAATCAGAAAGTTCCATGGTGACACTCAGTTGTTTGAGCATCCTTATCATAGTCCTTCCTGGTCCTGTCAACATCCTATAGGCAATGGGGACCACTGAGCATCTGAATCTCACACAAAAGAGATTAGAAGACATAATAAGGGACTTCAGACCTAAGAAGACACTGGTCACCATAAGGAGGACTTGTCACAGCTTGGATTTTTCTAGATACTCCTCTGGTCTCTGATCTTGTTCCCCTCTGTATGCCCCAATACTCTCGATTAGATAAAAGTCATCAAAGAGACAGAGGATTCCAAACAGATGGGAAAAAAGAAGCCCAGAGAGATGGAAAACAGGACTCATAGAAGGGACACAAGAAGTTGGTGGTTGATGTTGGTGGTTAATACCAATCATGACAGAGTCTAGAGCCATTTCTGAGTCTATCGAGTAGGTAGTTCTATGTTGAATTAATGGAGATGTGAAGACCCACCCTGAGTGTGTTATGCATTGTTCCACAGGCTGGAATCCAAGCCTTATTCAGGAAAAAATAAGAGAAACACTAGCATTCACCCATGCTTCCTGATTACAGACAGACACACTGTGACCCCATGCTCTTGCTGCCATGCCTTCCCCATCATAATGGATTGTACCCTCAAAGCAAAATAAACCCTTTCTTCCTTTAGCTGCTTCTTATCAGGCATTTGGTCACAACATTAAGAAAAGTAACTAACATTGGCTGACCTGGGACTTAAGCCTACCCTAATGCCCAGCTCAGGTTCTTTCTGTTCTGTGGAGTGGACTATCCCAGGAACTCCGTCCTAGCACTTACCACTATCTACTTCTGGAATCCCTCTATAACAAGAATCACTGTAAATAAGAAAGCCTCAGAGTGACATTGTAATCATAATTGCTATTGAGTGGGTTTTCTCAGGAACCTCACTGTAACATTGGTCACTGCCAAGGATATCCTACAAACATAGAAACCTTAGTGACTGAAGTATAAGATAACTCAGAAACCTGACTGAGGCACCAACTACCTAGGACTGAACAACTCCAAGACCCACTTATAACCTGATCCCTCTAGATTGGGCTATCTCAGGAACCCCACTGTAATACCAAAGAGCTGACTTTCCAGGAGCCCAGCTTCAGTAAGGTTGATCCAGGCACTGGTTCTGCGGCTCCATGATTTTATATCTGTTTTCAGTATTCTTCCCACAGAATGTTCAACACTGAAGAAGGAGGTAAGATTGGGTAATTCTGGGATGGGTTTAAGAGAGAAAACTTACTTTTAAACAGCCAATTGATGAAAGAGGCTGGGAAGCTTTTGTCCTGGAAAAACAAAACAAAACAAAAAACTCACAGTAAGTATGTACCTACTACACGCCAGGCTCTGTGTTCCATGTAAACCTGACACCAACTTGACAACATGAGGATAACAGAAAATGAAAGGAGACTTGGAGATGAGAATGACTTTGCCCAGGTCAAACAGTGAACTATCACAATACTGTTCCTAAATTCTGAACTCAAGACTATGACCTTGGATATCTGAGGGCTGAAAGACAGTGGATTATTGATCCAAAAATACCACTTTATGGAAGAATACAGGAACTTCTCCTAGTTCCTGGCTATGTCCCAGCCTGAAAAGAGCTAGAATGAAGAGGATATAGCCAAGTACACCAGGACAAATGCCCCAGCACCCTGAAGGCTCTGTGTATGAAGATGTCAACCAATAAAGTTGATTGGTTATTTAAATCAAGGGCAAAACAGAATAAGCCAATAGTTTCCTGAGTTCCTACTGTGAAAATCATATTCACAATACTGAACACTATCAATTCAAGTATGTGCTACTTAATGGGCCAGTAGAACATTTTAAAACTTGCCAGTTAAACTATGCTATCCCATTAAATAGGAGACACCAACTCCAGGTATGCTATGACATAAGGAAACATGTACCCTGGAAGATACATGCAGTGATAACTATGTGTGACTATGAAAATCACACTACCTAACACAAGAAAACTGGGGTCCAGAGATGAAGGCATGGTGCAAATGGCCACACAGTCATTCAAAATCAGAGCTCATATTCCAGCCAAAGAGACCTCAGGTGAGGAGACCTGGCTCCCCTGAGTCCCCAAAAGCTGTTCTTACCTTAAAGTCCATGTGATAAGAACGTTCATACAACATAGGCTGTGGGGTACTGGTTAAGTTGTTGTCCCCTAACATCCCGAGTGAGGCAATATCTGATGGAAAGAAAGAGAAATGAAACAATGGAAAAAATGGAAGATAGAATACATTCAACTGATTCAAACAGAGGCTGTTAAAACTCCCTTGTTCATTCCTGTCACAAGCAGGTGTGTCTAGAAGAGAGATTATTCCCCAATTGTTAAGTATGGAGTGAGGACACAGAATCCCACCATCATCCAGTAAGAGTAGTGAGTGCCCTCAGCCTGTAAATGGCAACCTACCTCCCCTACAAAGCAGACCTCTCCTTTTCCAGGCCCACCAGACTCCTTCCTTCCCTATTACAGTACTTGCTATCTCTCTTCCATCTGCCAGTTTTTTCTTCCCCCTTTATCCATCTAAGTAGCTTACTTTTTCCCTTGTCTTAGTTACAGTCCATATCATCTCTTCTTGTCTTCCTACACAGCTGCTAAAAGACCCTTCTTTCCAATCTTCACTAATCCGTCATCGATATATCACACATGCACACTGCAACACTGTCACTCTTTGTCCATCAATCCTTCCTCCCTCATTTCCTCAAATGCTTTTGTGTTTGCTTTTTTCTCCACTCCCATTTGTCTATCTTTTATAACCCTCCATCACTCCTGACTTCTACTATCCACTTCAAACCCACCCTCTCCTCCTTCTAAGTATCCATCACTCCTCTGTAGAGTGAAGCCTTCCCACCAGCCTGGTTCCAGAGCCACATCAGTTCCAAATGAACACACAGGAGGCTATATTAATTATGAAGCTGTTGGCCGTTTGCTTGTTTCTAACTGGCTAGCTCTGACTTAAGTATTTAACCCATAATTGTTAATCTAAGTA